CGCAATCTATCCAAATGCATAGGCCTAGGGATAAACAAGTGGGTTTTCTTGGCTCGTGGCCTTGAATATCGCTGATGTCCGTCATAAGAAGGATGAAAGCATCGAAGGAGATGGCCTCGAAACTGTTTTCGTAAAACCGACCGACAGCTGGTCAGGATGAATCCGGCGTTGTATTCTGACGGGGATCCACATTTGGATCTCATTACACACTTTCGCTCGAACGGAAGTGAACTCAACAATTATTTCTCACAATAATGTGAATAGGCCTTACGATACCATTCAAGTTCTCCAGGCCTTGATTCCCAACAGCTATAATCACCCAGACCTCTTAGAGTTTCAGCCTCGCCTCGCCTTCTCATGGCGACCACACCACCCCTCTGCTAAACAGCCACTGGTATCACTAGGTCACAAGGCAGATGCTACAAATGTGTATTTGCATGAACATTCGACGATGCAATTTGTGTTCAAAGTGAGTATGTTTATAAAATATAAAAAGCTTTTGAATATAAACTTTGTCAATTTACAAGTGGTATGACCTCGGTGTCGCAATTTTGTCGTGTTGTCAAGGTGACACGAACTTGAACGAACTTAGGCGGAAGTTTCATTGGCAAGATTTACTGACGATGCCTGCGAAACATCTGGGAATGTACCAAATCCACGGTTCGACGCTGGAAATTAGCATGCCTACCATAGAGGACAAGTGGAGCTTAAATTAATCACCTTGACAACACAAACCAATTACGATATTGAGGTCAAACAACTTATATACAGCGACCAAAGCAGAGGCCTCAGCAACTTGGCCGTCATATCTACACTCATTCAGTGTGGGTAGCTTAGTGATAGATTTGAAAGGAACTCACACTGAAGATAAGTAATTGAAATTGCTTACTTAATGTTTGACGTATTGACGACCCGCTTAGACATGTAATTTTGTAAAGGCTTGTCTTGCCTGGAAAATCACATCTTCACTATGCGCGTGGCTGTTGAGCCAGCTGCCTGGCGTGGCCTGGAGACAGATCCCAACCCGCTTTCCTCGCCAACTGCCAGCCGGCTAAGTGACGAAGAAATATGCATCAGGAGATTGGTTCAATTTGGATCTATCTTTACGTATCGCGCCGGATTGATTTGGCCAAATAAGCTGTGAAAGGTTAAAACTTTGCCGATGGGGAAACGTAACAGTGACAGATTGACAAGGATGCTATAGCTGGCAGTGAGCCGGGCCACAGAGAGAACTGGCAGCAAGAATTCCTATGGCAGCAGAGCCATAAAAGACGTATAAAAGGGTGAGGGCAAGGTGGGAATAAGGGAAAAGCCTGGCTTTGACGAGGCTTTCGCATCCTGCTGAGTTGGGAATAGAGGCTTTCACAAATTTTATCTAGCGATTTGCGCTCTGACCAGCGCTTGGATCGATAAAAAATTCTTGGGATCAAGTTCATGTCTAATGGACGAACGAACAGAAAGCGAGGTTGCACGCTCATACAAAAACCTTGTCTCGGTGACTCAGACTGAGACGAAGTGTCTGCGTTTGTGATTGGACGATGCGTTCGAGCGGCAAAGAGCGAATCAGAGGGAGCCCTCAGCCAAGGCCCAAATAATTTATCAGATTGGACCTCGTGATGAATCATGATCACAGCCACAGCTCGGTTTATCGAGCTGAAAGGCTTATCCCAAACATGGAAGGTGCATTTGAACGCATTTAAACGCATTTAAACGCATTTGAACGCATTTGAACGCATTTGAACGAATTTGAACGAATTTGAACGCATTTGAACGAATTTGAACGCATTTGAACGCATTTGAACGCATGTAAGAATGCTGGAGGCCAGTAAGTCGGATGTAATTACTTAAGGAGCTCTCCTTAACTTTACATTTTTGTGTCATGTGAAAATAAGGTATATTTACATAAGCTGAGTACGCGCTAGCAACTATGAGCGTGAGATGCTTGAGTGCAGTGAATTTCGTTGGCCTCACCAGAATTCGGAGAGGAATTGCCACGGGGCTGTGACGGTGGATTTGTGCGCATACGTCCTCGACGCACCGCCATGTCACCCTGATGGAACCTAGTTGAGCATTCGTCCATCGTGTAACGGACATCGTCAGAACTGGAGACCATGCTTTACGATACTTCACTGAAGCAAAGACAAGAAGTCCTGTTTTTATACGTTGGCGTAAAAAATTGCGCTTCACCTTTGTTGGACTCGAAGCTGCATCGGAAATTGCGATCGATTGTGCTATTACCTCAAGAAAGATGTGGTGACCTCTAGGTTATGTTGAAAGAAAGTGGTCCTGGCACAGGAAGTAGATAGTAAGACCATCATAAAGAAAAACCTGAAAATAAGTGAATAATTTAACTGCCTTAGCTCCAGTCTCTCTATCTATTGATTTTGGTTCAAAAGTCTCTCTATGACAGGATTCCTCAACATTACTTGGGGTGAAGAATTAGTCAAATTGACTCGGATATGTCTCGGCAAAGGTTATCCAAGTGAAATGATACAAATAAGTATATGAGCCGCGAAAAGCCGATGGCTGAACGGGGATTACGAAAGAATATTAGGGACGGAGGAGGATTCACAAAAGTGGATATGCCCACCTTTCCGCGAGCTAACTCAAAAACTACGGCCAATACTAAGTAAATTAAATATTTGGGTTACCACGAAGTAAAAACGACACTTCACACATTTGTCCATGCAACATGAGAGGGTGGATACATTGGGTTGTTTGCGGCTATATTCAATATGATGCGGTGCATGCGAGCATAAATATATTGTCAAAACAGGGGGAAAAATCAGTAAATGCATCAAGGGAAGTCAAAGGGTCTGCAGGAAAATGGATAC